GACGTTTATTCAATTAAACAAATGTACATGGCAATGGAGCAATTCCACCATATCCAGTACTCAGGAAGGAAAACAGCACGACGAAGTGAACAACAAACAATAAATAGAGTTAGATTTCAATTCTTTACATCAGATTTTCCTCTTCAGTAGATTCACATCATGCAAATCTACAAGACACGACGATTAAGAAATGTCGCAAGCTATTTTATTTCTCCATTTATCAACAGGCATTAATAAATAATCTTTATATCTGTTTGATTGCGTCATAGCAATTATACAAGCAATTCTGTGATGCACACATCAAAAATAAAACATTCAAATGCACTCAAATACAAAACACAAAATGGAATGGAATGCGGCGGACGACATCAGTCCATTCGGATCTTCTGATTGGTCATCCTGTAGATGATGCTGTCATATCCGGGATCCATGTTCCAGAGGTTGTACGAGATCACGATGACGGATAAAGCTAACACGATCATCAGCCACAGGACAATGTTAAAGACCACGGCGTAATCGTAGTCGTACTTGTAGGCCAGGTTGTAAGGGCTGCCTGGGTTACTCTGAAACAACCACACGCTAGTGTTACACGTAGGTCAGCGTTCAAAAGTAGGTCAGCGAAGGGGGTTTCTAATGTACCGTAACCATCTTTTTGTTTGGGAACAAAACAAACAGGTTAAGGGTTGGAAAGGTGAGGGTCGCTAAAACTATACGCTACCATTTCTAAAAATGAATAAAAAGCACGCTAGAGCTTGCTAACCAACTACTACTGGCTACGCTAATAACGTTACACGTCTTACAGAAGTGGTCTTGAATCGATTCTTTCTTCTCGCACCCTGACAAATAAGAATAACACTGGAAATATGGACCTGACCCAACATTAAGTTTTTCTTTTTAGAAATGTTTGCTTATAGAAAAGCTTATTGCAATCAACTTACGATCTGCTTGGACTCGAGGATGGAGCGTGACTTCCTGGTCAGAGGGGCTTCAAACGTCTTCACAGTCACGACTTCTACAACCGCGTTGTTTGCATAGACATTGGCGACATCGTCTGCGAACTTCATACATGCACATACAAACAGATTTTAGTATAAAAGTACTAATAACAGCAGTACGGTTTATATATTA